CTGTAATGAAAATTAAATAAAAATGTCATTTAAAAATACTAAAGCTTGCAAGACTGGTATTTGCTAATATAATATATAAAAAAGGATTATTTGGCTTTTATAATTTTAAGCCACTATTAGGACCCATGGTAGAGGCTCCATAGAGGCACTGACGGCTCTAGAGCCGCAGGTTGCATTCCCAGGCTTTATATCCTCCTATATCCTAACAGCCAAGACTTTTAATTAACTTAAATGTGCTTTGCACAGAGGAAGGGACGCTTTGAAAACTAAGGCACTTTCATAAGAGCGGGGCTAAACAAACAGGCAGACGGGGAACAGAATGCAGTGCTTGGCCCAAAACTCAGCCCATAAATGTCCAAGTCAGTTTTTCCACACTCAGCAACTCCTGATGTCGTACTGAAAAATGCTATAAGGAGAGGAGGGGGGGACATGAAGGGGAAAGAGGGATGAAGTCAGGAAAGAGAGGGAGAAAAAGGAGGGGCCAGGAAATAGAAAGAGGGGCAGAGTATAAACCAACTTAACAGCCCAGTAGTCTTGAGCAATCAGCAATGACATCATGCAGACTGAAGCCAGGTCTGAATGAAGAGAAAAAGACAAGAGCGAGGAGGCTGATAGGACAAAAAGGGAGGCGAGACAACAGGATGACAGTGCTGCATTTCCACCATGGTGGTGCAGGCGGTGACACGTTCAATTTTTGTGGTTCGCACAACTTAACCAAGCCAACCAAAGCCACAGCATAAACATATGAAGAATGCAAGAAGATCACCACAACCACAGCCTGACGCGGAGGTTAGAAGATGCTTATCTTCACTGCACATACAATATAGTTGGAAAAAATGGCTTCAAATCTCGTTTAAATGCGTTTAGGCTATGGCGTTTCCTGAACTCCTAAATGTCGCCCTGGGAGGACATGAGTGAGAGAAAATGTGATGCAAAACAATCACATCAGAGCCAGTGTAACCAGGTGAGAGACAGGAAGAGGGAGAGAAACCTCAGAGGGAGTCCAAATAAAGCAGTCACAGGAACACACTCAGACCCAACGCACACTCGCCGACAACAAATCTAACCCTGCTAAAAATGCATCACTGCTTCTATAAGCTTTGGAACAAAAACTCACAACATACGATCCCCTTCAGCCCCTCCTATCCACCAGGAAAACAACAAACAGGAAGGTTTCCCCACAATATTTAAATGAAAAAACATAAACATGCAGATAAGTGGCTCCACATTTTTTTTTTTTTGCATCCAACCCCCACGGCGTATTATCAGAAAGACCTGGCAGAAATGAGCAGAGGAAGTGTGGAAGCGATTAAGCGAGGCAGGTCCAGTCAGCACCAAGCACCGATGCAGAGCCCTCGCCTCGCTCTCAGGGGCCGCACAGCCTATATAGAAACAGACTTCTCCTGTACTATGAGCAAGTCAAGGGAATATACTACTACTGCCCGCTTTTTTTCCAACAATAAGCTATTTATGTTGCTAACAATGCAGCAAAGCAGAAAAACATGGGAGAAAACACAGCTAATGCTGCTACTAACGATTATTTTGCAAATCGATTAATATGTTGATAATTTTTTCGATGAATCGATTAATAATCAGATAGCCAACGGTTCCTTAAAGAAGACTTTTTATTAAATTAAACCAGGTGAAACTAAAACTTTTAAACTTGGAGTTCTGCATAGAGCATATAGACAGATGAAAATGTTTTCTTTATCTTAAATGCAAAATGTTTCCATATTTTTGTAAAATTTTGGTATTGTGGGTTGCTCTGTCAGGCATGTACAGTCTCTATACTCCAGTTAACAATTAATCGATTACTAAATTAGTTGAAGATTATTTCAATAATCAATAGGCTCTATGCACAGCTCCACTACTTCCTGAATTTAATGCAGCTCCTTTGTTTCCTGTCTTTCATGATTGGATGCACTGATTAATCCAGGTGTGTATGACCTAAGTAACTGGCCAGACACACCTGGATTAATCAGTTCGTCCAGTAATGAAAGACAGGAAACAAAGGAGCTGCATTAAATTCAGGAAGTAGTGGAGCTGTGCATAGAGCCCATTAATCATGATTAATCAGATTGTTTCAGCCCTAAAAACAGCTCTCAGCCATTGAGACATTGCAAATAAAATAACTCAATATGACTAAAGCTCTGCTAACCGATTCAAAGCTGAGAAGCATGCTTTTCGGAAAACATGGCCCATCTCTAGTCTGCATGGTGACACTAATAGCTGACACTAGGGCATTTATTTGACATCCAAACCCAATTCCCAAAGAACTGTAACACATTGAGCCGAGTGGCAAAACCCACAGAGCCCAACTACCCATAAATAGCTCCATCAAAACAACACTGGTGGCATTTACTGCTTTGCTGAGAAGAGTTACAATGAAGCAATGAGAAAAGGTCTGATTTCAGACGCTCTAAAAGATGATTATGACACCTTTACAACATGTTAGCTAGCTGTTAGTATGAAAAGTTTTCACTTTGCTAAATCATAAAATCGTAGTATAATATATGCTAATATGCTAAATGAATGAAAACAGGTTTTATTTGTCCAATAATTCTGCAACCATTGAAATTTAAGGACTGTATACATGTAGGGCCCGGCATGTTAAGTTGATTAGATACATACTGGCTTTTATACAGAACTGGATTTGAATAGTTTTTATAGAGTTTTACTTTTAGCATCTATATTTTATATTCTTAGATTTAGACAGGCTTTGTCATTTTGTATACACAGAGTGTATACAAAACGAAATTTCATACATACACCCTCCGACAGTGAATGAGCAGCAGCTTAAGAGGGAAATGAACAGTTCCATTTAAAAAGTGCAGCAGTGATCAAAATGTAAACAATAGAGGAGAGACATGGTGCAAAAGGCATTGATGTGGAAGGTTCAGAGCAGCGCTAAAATTGCAGTTTCTACTCTTTCTCTACACTTTCAAATCTGAATTATTAAAGAGTCCTATCAAAACAGAGAGGAAGATAGCTGCTGTTTTCCAGCTACTTTAGAAGCTACTTTCTCCTTCTTATTGCAAAGACCCCCGAATGAAGAAAGTCTATGAGCTTTTAAACCACTTTGTAGACGAATGCTTCAATATGCTGAGGGTCTTTTTAGTTAAACATTTTCTGAACAACAGCAAGCGGAGGCTGAGCTCTGAGCAACATCTGAACATCATTGGTGAGGGAATCATGTTTGGTGTAATTGACTTGGCAGAGAAATATTGCTGAAAATCTAAGAGGTCGATTTTTAACATTGTGTAAATATTTCTTGTGTTTCCATTATTATATCAGGGATATTAAGCTTTTGTTTTCTTGAAAAACGACATAAACTTTGCAATTATATCCTTCTTGGATCCATTTAAAAATCAAATTACTAAACTGTAAAATATAGAACTCAGAAAAGTATTAGCATAATAAAGCATATGTTTGAGTCACAGTGACAAAATACTCAGGATTTCAATGTTTAGAAAATATTTGCAATTAGGATTATGTTCCCACTATTGCTTCAAAAAAAAAAAAAAAAAATATATATATATATATATATATATATATATATATATATATACACATACATACGGTATATATATATATATATATATATACACAAATGTAAGTGTGTTCTTTTATGGGTTGCAGATATGTATATTATAAATAAACATATTCTCAATGGGATTCATTGTGCATTTATGGTATTTTAGCTAACAATGTGGTTGGGGATTTATACTTATTAAAAAATCATGTATGCAAGCTGCATTGCTTTAATATATAAGAAAAACATTTATAAAAACACTGCAAGCTTAATGTCTTATAGCTCTACTACTGACAATGATTATAAGTACTAAAAAGGCATAACAGTTATCTAAGGTTCATTTAAAAATTAAAAACATTTCATGAAAATGTCTAAAGAAAATTCAAACAAACTATTTTTCAAAGAAGGCTTTTAACCAGTTTCAAATACTATTTGGGGGTCACATCTTCCGCTGTCTATAATTAATTAAAATAACTATTTTATTGTTTCAGATAATTTATTAACTAGTTTTACAGTAAATTATAGAGTTATTACATTAAGATGGTTTGGTTTGATTTTCAGTTTTATTGGAAACACAATAATAAGGAGTCAGGCACACTTTTGAAACAAAACTTTCTTATGAAAAGTACAAATTATAATAAAGTTACACTACCAGTCAAAGGTTTGGACACGCCATAGTCATGCAAATGGAGCCCTTTAAAAAACTATGAAGGAAAAGTACATAAAACAAAGCATCTAACAAGGAATGTTTAAATAACTGCTTTATCATGTTTTGATTGCTGCTTTTCACCCTCTTTGCATTCATAGCAGTGCTTCATCAGGGGTCACCTCAAATGTCCTCAAAACATTCTGCCAAAGGCAGAATAACAAATAAATACACAAAAACAAACCAATGGCTCAAAATAAGCGTCCTAACTTTTCCCTGGTAGCTTAGATTGTTTAGAAGATAAACAAGACATGTGTTATAGATTGGCAGCAGACAGCAGTGTAAACGGGCTGACATCCAGTTGTGTTGCTTTAAGCTTTAATGAATGCCTTTAGGCTAGAAAGTGTTACAGAAATGGGATTTTTCCTGCATGTCGCTCAGTGCGTGTCCAGGCGTCTCTGCGTCCTGACGCACCGGCGGAGCGCAGCGCAGCCGCGGACGCGCTGAAGCGCAGCGGGGATCGCCTCGCCGGTGTCCGCTGCGTTTCTCTATCGCTTCCCCGCGTTTTAACCCAAATCCCCAACAAGGTATGAAAAGCGGAGCCGTCTGTGGAGCCGCTGCAGGTCCGACAGCCTCAGAGACCTTCCCTCTCCCCCCACCTTGTGTGCAACACAACGGGCCCCGCTCCCCGGATCTCCCCGCGTCGCATAGATGAACTAAAGTTATCCTCATTCCCTTATTTCCCTTTATCTCAGCATTTGTGTTCGGACTGAAAAGAAGCGACTCCAACTTTGCAGTGTTGGCGTGAAAAACATCACTTACCTCCTGATCTCCTCCAGCGGGTTCACCTCCTCCTCGATGGGCTCTATGCTGCTGCTCCTGCTGCTGTTGCCTTTCCTTTCTCCTCCCCTCCTCGGTTTTTTTCTCCTCCTGTCTTCTTTCCTTAACTCCTCCCCTCCCAGATACACAGCTGCTGCTCCCAGAGAGGAGGGAGTGCTACTCCGGAAGTAAATCACATATTCTTTAAAAAGGGAAAGTTGGAGATTTTCTCTGATTTCAGCAGCTGAATGAATACAACTGAAGTAAAACATCCATGTCTGGTTACGCATCGAGGCTGGAATGATATCACGGGTACACCAGAGGATTTCAATGGACAATAAAATAGAATAGAAAATCCCTTTATTGTGCCACAGTAGGGAAATTGTGGTGTTACAGCAGCTGAAGGTTATAGCAGGAATGGCCAGACAATGTGGACATTAGAAAGTGTATAAAAATAACAGAATAAGTGAGTTAAAAAAAAAAATAAATAAATAAATAACCAAAATAATATAAAATGTAACTATATTTTATTATATAAAATATAATAAAAAACAAATAATTACTGTACTGTACAGTGTTTACAGTACAACATGTGTGTGTGTGAATATTGGATAAAAACAAGTTTAACAGGAAGGTTACTCTACTTAAGTTAATTTAAGTGCAATTAGATGGAGAGTGAAAAATAAGATTTATTTCTTTATACCCATTTTCAGACAATTTACATTAATCAGTGTCCCTTTTCTGGCTGTATATGCTGACAGGTTTATTTGCTGGAGGGTTTGTTTTTCTATTAATGATTAGGTGAATTTAGTTAGTTTTGAAACTGGTTTTTGGTTTGGTTGATGTGAACTAGTCTCTTTTGTGTGTCTTTGGGTTGATTCATTTATTGTTGTTTGTCAAAAATTGTCTAAAATAAATTTCTATTCATTCATTTATTGATTCATTCCATATAAATGCTTTCTCACCTTCGCCTAACTTTTTTTAAATACACAAGCATTCTGATAACACGCTAATAGGTCTTATCAGGCCAAAATGTCCAGTTAATGTCAACCAATGATGATTTAGTTGAGGGTAAGGCAAGGCAAGTTTATTTATACAGTATAGCACAATTTGTTGCAAAGTCAGTTCAAAGTGCTTTACATGAACTAAATAACTAAATAGAAGGAAAATAAAAGAAGTTTAAAAGCAAATAAAAATTTCGGACCACAACCTTAAACTAATAATACCTCAGTAAACACTTCAACAGTTAAAGGCAGATCTAAACAAATGAGGTTTTAACAGTGACTCAAAACAATGTTCTTGTTTTTTTTTTTTTTCAATCTTCAGGTTTACTTGTGGTTCCTAAAATTTCTAAAAGAAGAATGAGAGACAGATATTTTAGTTATCAGGCTCCTCTCCTTTGGAACCAACTACCAGGTTTAGCTTGTGAGGCAGACACCCGGTCTACTTTTAAGGCAAGGCTAAAATGTTCCCTTTTGATAAAACGTATAGTCAGTGTGGCTCAGGTTATCCTGAGCTATCTCTGTAGATATGCTGCTATAGGCTTAGACTGTTGGAGGACCCATTTTTAACCCTTGCTACTTAAATTATCTTCTACTCTCCAAATTTTGCTTTACTTGTTAGTTTAACCTTCATGTTCTGTCTGATTTTTTTTTTCTTCATTGTAGCTTCATCAGGCAAGTATGAAGTACAGTATATACAGACTGCATACAATTACCTCTAAAAATCTGCACTATACATAGACACAAACCTGGTATGTTCCTGTGCATAAAGTAAAAGTCATCAAAACAGTTTAAACTCAAAATCAACTATTTTCCAATGGCATGACTGAAAATAGAATAGGATAGAATTGAATACGCAGGTTTTAAATTTTGTAATTATTCCAGTACATAGAATACAACTAATAGGCTGTACAAGAAGTTTTAATGTTTTTTTGTCCCAAGTTGGGCTTTTATACAATTTGACAATTTAAAGGTAACGTAATTACGGTACATTAAACTTGTCAAATATCCACAAAACATTTAACTATACAAGGAGATATTGTAAAAAGCACAAGGCACTATTGCTTTCCAGAAATAAGGTCCAGAATCCCATACATACAGTATATCAATATAAAAGTGACATAAAAGTGATGTATGTGGATTCACACAGAAAAGAGACTGGACATTAAGATAAAACTTTTATTAGAAAAAGATACATTGGAGTACAATTATTTTTTTTCTTAATGCGAAAAATGGTCATGTATATTTTTTTGTGTTGTGCCGATACCATTTTTTGGCCCTGATACCGATACCCGATACCTTTTCTGTGCAGTATCAGCTGATACCTTTGCCATACCGATTCCATCTGTTTGAAATTGATGTGTGTGTGTGTGTGTATATGAAGAACTGCATACTACTTGGATGCTAAATAATTGCCATCATGGCTTTGTCAAGCTGCTGCCTACCTTTGTGAAGGAGGAAAAGGACTAATACAAAGTGAATCAAGTAGAACTTATATTGCCTACCTGGAATGCATGACAATAGTTGAATAAACTTTTGGCTCTCAAAATGTCATTGGTGCCCTATGTGTTGGTACTCCCCGACACCGATACCACCATTTTAGTGCTGTATCTGGGCCCTGATATACACCAAATGCAATCATACAATACATAGAAGGTAAGTTATGTTATTTCTTTTATTTCTTTTTTAAACACCCAAATATGACACAGCAAAAGAAGGAGAAGTAATGTATTATTCCTTAAAAACAAAGCAGAGAATGTGTTTGTAAATTCAGTGGAAAGCAGGATGTAAAAACATCAAGAACAGGATACAGATGGGTTTCCTTTTTAACATTACAACTACATCATTAACTAATTTATTACTTAGCATAGCTTATTCATTTCACACACCCTCTCTCACAACACACATGCATGTCACCTAGAAGCTAAAACACTGAATAACGATAACGTAAAAGGAGGCTAGAATCGCAAAAACAACCTTTTACATGATATGTACCTGTTAACACAGACAACTAGGTTAATATGGACCTGTGCAAACTGGGACTTTATATATGTTTTTATATGAAAAGTTATTTCATTTTCACACAACACAGACAGTAAAATGATAATCTATCATTCATTTAAATGCAAGGGAACAGATAGAAACATGTCTGGTCCTCAGTGACCATGAAATTCTAAAAAAAAATGCAGTTTAAAATTTGGTTATTTTACTTTTGGTTAATTTTTCAATAGTAATAAACATCTCTTCTAACCTGTTGATTTAATGATAACAAAACTTATTTGTGGTTTAAAAGCAATGAGAGAAAATTATTATCTTTTTTTCTCTGATAATAATTCAGAAACTGAGAATAATTTATTTCTTTGTTTACTTTTTGCCAATTAAAAAAAATATAAAAATATAAATCATAAATAAATTCGCGTTGGCAGAAATATTTTTAATAAATTAAATCTAAGGTAAGGTTTTTTAATAGGGTAGGCAGAAAGAGTCTGAATATATGGCGACCTCTGGTGGTTAAATTGACTCACTACACCAATGGCGGCACCACCAATATTTGCTAATTATAAACGAGTGGCCATTGTTCTGGGCAAATTAACGGGCTTTTTTCTATAGAAACTAAAAAGAAAATAATTTTTTTTCTGGATCAACAAAAAAATGATCTTTGCATTTTATTCATTCTGTTTTTAGAAATCTGGCTGTGTTAAAACAACAGTTTTTTTAAATTATTTATTTAATTCAGTACTAGAGTGAGGAAAAAAGCTGAAAAGTTTTACAGTGCAAAGTTTTTGTTGCATTTTTTATTTATTTATAACAGAATAAAAAAATGTGAAGTTTATTCAAAATAGAAGGACTTTTATCCCTCTACAGACTGTCATTTTAAACCAAACTGCCTAATCAGGCTTAAACCCCTTTCCATACAACAGACATGAAAAATTGTAAAAGTGTTGAAATGATAATGAAGATGTTAGTTGATATTTTCATCATTTTAGTTCACACTCTACAGCAGGAGTTTCAGCTGGACGATAGTTTGTGAAAGCTTTTGCTAAATGTGTCAACTGTTCACATTTAGGTTTAAAAATCCTTATACACTTAAACTAGACTTGCAATACAAAGAGCAACACATGAAAAAGTAATACTTGTCTTCAGATGCAATTGTTTTCAATAATAAAAATGATAAAAACTAATAATAACCATTTGATTACTGTTTTCTTCACCTCTGTGTTTTGGAAGGGTAATGCTGGTCAAATGCTGCTGCTAGATCAAACAAAAAATTGTCATCTGCCGCCATGACCAAGTAATAAGTGAATCTGGTATGAGCTCTTTTAATGCTTTTTGCAGACTAAAACTTTTTAAACTAACGGTTAGAAAACATATGGTAATATGATAAAGCCGCAGTGCTAATATGAAATAGAAGCTGTGCATTGTTCTTGTAATTAGAGAGGTTTTCGGAGTCACGGTTATTTCAGCAAAGTATTAATGGATTTCTGCACACAATAAAACTGTTCTGGCAATCTTTTATTTTTCATGTCCAAGTAAAAATCACATTTGTTGTATTTCACCTTGGCCTGTACAGATATTTATTATCCTCTCTTCCATCCATCTTCTCCCACTTATTCTGACAGGTCGCTGGTGCCTGGACAGTTCGGTGGCCTATTGCAGGGCAAAATGACTTTACACTAAATTGAGTCATTCACACATTCATGCCCACACTCACACACAAATAGTGGCTGCCCTGTGGTCACTGACAGAAGCAAGGCTGCCATACTCAGGCGGCACCAGGCCCTCTGACCACCATAAGTAGACAATGTGGGTGAAGTGTCTTGCCCAAGGACACAATGACGCTGAAAGCCCAAGTTTAAAGCCACAACCCTTTGGTTTCAGGGGAAATTCCTGCATCCAATGCCACCATTGCCCCAATTATTATCTAAACAGTATTTGAAAATTTTCCCCTACATAATTTTAAAGCAGAGCATAACATAGTAATAAATTAAGAAAATAAAACAGTGAAAGGAACAAGCAAAGTTGTTTATAGTTTTATTCAGAAAGATTTCAGCTGCCTATTTCTGAGTTTCTAAGTCTGACTGGGCAATTATATAGCCTGTTCGGTTAACACTTCAATTAGTT